ATTGTGATGTACCCGCAATTATATAACACATGCACAATAATCACCAGGGCTTTAGATGACGTGTGAAACATTTGTCCAAATGCCAGCTTTTTGGTACTATATGGATGCTTATCTACAGTCAGAATTTGGTAAGCAAATTGGTAGTAAGCCTAAAATATTAGTGAGATGCCCCCATAAGTTAGTAATCCATATAAATTCAGCATATCCTTATGTTTATAAAATTCAGTTTGCGGAGCACGCCACATATTACTGTTTTGGTTTATCATGGAAGCGATAAGCACTGAAGTGGCAGTGAAGAAAGGGATAGCTCAGCAGCCACAACATCTTTTTAGAGAAGAGATATTGTGGATAAAGAAGGTAAAAGAGATGGTGTTGTGGCGGCACTTATTGCAGTTTAAAGTCCCTCACATGTATTAAACATAAGGTTATGCTAAATTTATACTGATTACTAACATTTTAGATGCTCTGCTAATCTGCTTACTAAATTGTGGCCGTTAGTAAACGTTCATATAGTACCAAAAAGCTGGTGTCCGGACAAATGTCATCTAAAGCCCTGGTGATTACTGTGCATGTGCCAAATTATTGCAAGTACATCATGATGTGATATGGTGCAGCCCTAACTCCAAGAGCACATAGAAAACTTATCAGCGAAGTCACAGGACACCCCAGATTAACATCTAGGGAACTGCAGGCTTATCTTAGGTCAATTAATGTCTGATGTTCATGATTCCATGATTAGAAAGATACTGGTCCATGGGAGAGTTAAAAGGCAAAAACCACTGCTTAAGAAGAGGAACATAAAAGCTTGTCTAACATTTTCCAAAGAACATTGATTACCCCCAACACATTTAGGACTACGTTCTATGGACTGATGAGTCAAAAGTGGAATTAACTGGAAGACATGAGTTCTGCTACATCTGTTGTAAAGTTAAGACAGCTTTTCATAAAAACAGCATCATGCCCATAGTCAAACAGGGTGGAGGTAGTGTGAGGGTTTGGGGATGCTTTGCTGCTTCAAGGCCTGCGCGACTTGCCATACCTGAGGGACACATGAATTGCGTTATCTAGCAGAAAGTACTGAAGGAAAATGTCTGGTCATCAGTTCGTGATCTGAAGCTCAAAAGCTCAAGAGCAAGTCCACCTCTGAATGGTTGAATAAAAACAAAACTAGGATTTTGGCCCTGACTTGAACCCCATTCAGATGTTGTAGTGCAGGGGTCTCAAAGTCCAGTGCTGGAGGGCCAGAGCCCAGTGTAGCTTAGTTCTTTCCCTGTTCCAACACAAATGATTCCACACAAGAGCTGTGTGGTTATTAACACAAGGAGTTGAATCAGGTGTGTTAAATGACTCTCTTTATTTCTATGGGGAAAACTCTAATCCCAACATGATGACCTTAACCCCTACCCAGCCCTAACCTTAACCATAAGTAAGGTTTTTTGACATGAAAGGTTTTTGACAGGTTTTTGTTAAACTGTGGGGAACATTTGGTCCCCACAATATGTAATATACATATAATCCACACACACACATAGACACAGACACAGTTGATAGCAAAGCTTGCGGTCCAGTAAAGCCATTGTGCACATAATATTTGAAAATGATCTGTACAATAGTTTTACAGCTACTGTGTTCACAAGACCAAATGTCTACTACAGCTGCCGTTTCCTTACTTTGCTGCCACACAGCACTGCTGCTTCATTTTGGGGCAATTTGTCTGGAAATAAAAGCAAATGTCGATATTCCATCCATATGTTTTTGTGAAACAGTAATAAGATCTATCAAACACTTTTTGACATCACATTCACAGTCTGCTCTCACTCTTCCCTTTGCTGCCACTAAGCAATTTGTCTCAAATTTTAGTCCATTTCAGTTAGGCACCCATAAAATGCCTCTGCAACATTTGAAAAGCATATGTCAAAAATGCTTTGGGTTATCGTCTTAATGGTATCAAGTGTCAAAACTACCCATTTTTGTTATCACTATGTGCTGTGGTTTCAGCTTGTGCGTTGCAGTGATGTGTCTCAAAAGTTCACCAGTTCCAGATCATGCTAAGTTTGAAAAAGCTCTGTTGAATAGTTTTTGAGTTACTGAGTTACTAAACAAAGCATCTGCAGCAGCGTAGGTCCCCAGGCCAAAAATATTCCCCAGACAGGAAAATAATAATAAATGTATAATCCACTAAACTGCTGGCATTAAAAGTTGCCTACTGGAGGGGTGCCAATTAGCTGTGCTGATCGTCGTTTTTTAGTCTCTGTGGAAAACAGCTGATTTGGCAGGCTGGGTTTGATTATGATTTAAACACATGTCGTGACCTGTCTAAAACCGGCTAAAGCAGTGGTTCTCAAACGTTTTACACTGTGTACCACTTCTGAAAGCATTATGCTATCTGCGTACCACCATCACAACATTAGACTTAATCATGCAGGCACACTGTAGGGGTGGCAAAGTGATCAAGTTTTGAGATAGATCGTCCCAAAACTGAAGCAGTGCCACACAGTGAAAGCAACAAAGGTAGTTTCATTAATTTAATAACATAAATTTACTTTTGTCACTTTTTTGGTGAAGTGGGGAGGGTATTCAAGGTAGGCTTGTAATATTTTATTTATGTTGTGGTATTTTTCTTCAGCAAAATGTATTGTGGGACAACCCGAGAAATCCCCCCCCAACCCCCCGCCCCGGCTTCATATGGCTAAATTTATTGTGGGAAAATATAATTGTGTCACTTACCCATAGTCAAAATAAGTGATGACACATAAAAGAACATATGCAGACCTGGTGAACTTAATGCAATTAAAAAAGTCACACAAAGTGCTCCATGGGTACTGGAAAAATAACCTGACCCTGGACACCAAGCTTCATTCTCACCTGTGGATAGGAATATATATGTGTGTGTTTAAGTCTGAAAAGAAAAGTGACTTATGTGTACTTTGTAACCACATTTAACCATTCAGAATGTGAGTTCATCCATCAGGCAAGATAACATCACTTGTTTCCTAATATTCTGTTTTGTTTTGTTGGCAAAGGATCAGTATACTCTGAAGTGAAGTGATTTCTAAATACTGTTCTTATTTATTGTAGCTAATCCTACAGTATGTATATATTGCAAACAAGAACATTTATTTTTTGTTTAGTTTTTATATTTTGCAAAAGGATCATGTTAGTGTAGCAGTGCACCTGTATATTGTGTAACCTCCCAATATTGAAAAATAAAATGCTCTGTCCAGTTTTTGAACCAATATGGGATATGATTTGTCTCGTGATCTCATGTGGCATGAGATCTCAAGTGGCAACTTTGGTAGTTTGATTGATGAAGGCGTGCGTCTCCAGTTAGCCAACCATAATGATACAGTGAAGAAAAGTCATGAGATTTTGAAAAGACTAATTAATGAGATGTAATTCTTGGGTTGTCAAGAGCTGGCATTTAGGGGACACAATTAGAGTTAAAACTCTGACAGCAAAGGAAACTATACATGCTTTCCTGTTATGACAATGTTTCTTTTGTGTTTCAATGTAATGTACAGCAAAATATAATGCAAAGCTGTGTAATATACCCATTAAAATAATTATGCAATTGTGCATTATGACCAAGATTTCAGCAAAGAAATTTACTTTTGTAAAATTCATATTATTTGCACACTTCATGGCAGCTTCTGACCTTGCTGTCATATTTTCTTTAGGCAAGAACACAAATAACGAAAATGTTACATTTACAATTAAAATGAAAATTACAACAAATTTAGAGCACATTTTAGGGATAATGCTATCTTGACAGTTTTTTGTGGGAACAGATTCTGTACGGTGGAGGAGGGGATTTCATAATTATTGTTTATCCTCATATTCTTTAATTAAAATATTGCATTTTCTTAGACATCAAACAGCTCTAACTGATGTCAGCATCATGTTTCAGGGAGAATCAGAAAGCGAGTATTGGTACTCAGTCTGACAAAAATGGTATTGAAAAATGTCTTCTTTAATATACCTTTATGAACACTAATACATAAGACATAAGGCTACATGTGATCAGGACTCCTTTCTGCAGATTGCTGTTACAGTGCATGTGTGACAGAGCTCTTGCAGCTTGCAGCCAATGGCACTAACAGCTATGAGCTTATCTACCGATGCACTGAAACCTGGAAACTCTGGCACCACAAATTACATCTGAGTACATTTACTCTGCTCTCACACGTACTTCCCTAAATTCCACATAACACATTTTCCATCAGGAAATGCTCAGCTTTCCTTTGATTTCATGCAAAGCTGATGTAGGCCCAGGTAATACAAATGTTCTGCTTATGGCAGCCAATGTATAATTCATGACTTGCTATAATTACATCTTCTCAATTACCTGTTGCCATACTTCAACTGCTTAAAGCTAAGAGGTTCATATAAAATCTATTGACCCAGCAGTAATGGGACTAAACACGGTTCTCAAAAAGATCCAAGCCACAGACAGATTCATTGGCCACAGACTTGTTTCAAATTTAAATTGTAAGTAGAGGCAGGGAGTAATGGCCGAGGGCACATACTGACCCAAATCAAGCAGACTGACAGCAGAAGCACAATGGTCGCTTTGCATAATGTACCATAACGTAAAACATGTTGACAAGTCTAATTACCAGTGGCTGTACTACATCTGTATCTAGACCACGAGAACATTTCATTCAAAATGAACATGTAATAGAAAAATTTGAGAATCTCTACACCACCATCACCAATCCTGACACAATCACAATTATCGTAGTCTTTATATAAAAAGTCATTGGAAAACAAATAGTATATTTCCTCTGTTTTAGGTTTAACAATGAAACCATCTTGAGCACTGAAATCAGCATTCCAAGCAAATCTGTTGATTAACCCAATTAACCCAAGATAAGTCACTCAGCCCGCAACACAAATCCTGCCATACAATAAAACAAACAAATATACAAACAAACAAACAAATAAACAAACAGGAACAGGTGGAAATAAATTCTATGGTGAGAAAAAGTGAGACGAATTACCTTGTTCCAAAGTTAGTTTTGGGTCCTGTTGGAGAATCAAGGGCTTCCCCTGGCTTGGGTGTCCGTTCTCTGTTCATCTGCTGCAGAACTGAATTCAGTTCACTAATCACATTGGCCTTGGGATCTGGGGTAGGTGGACTCTTAAGTTCTGGAGGATCACCCCAGAGTTTTGATGTCCTTTGTGTTGGGGTTTTAGGAGGGTCAGACTGGGCACCCCCTGGTGGTGGTGGGGCAGGAGGCATCCCAAATGTTTCAAGGCTCTCTTCAATTAAAGCATCCTTGTAAAGTGCATTGCTTTTGTTGATGATAGGCTTCATTTTTGGCTTGGGTGGGACGGGGGGCCTGTCGACCAGAAATGCTTGCCCATCTGCATAGACCGTACAAGTGTCTAGGTTCTCTCCACCCTCTGAGGACAGGGTGGAAATGCTGGACACGGTTGAGATAGTGCTGGTTGTCTCCAGATGTGGGTCACCACTACTCCTGCTGTCTACTTCCTCAATTCCCGAGTCAGTAATGGGCTCAAAGTTCTCAGGTGGTGGTGGTGGGTAATTGGGAGGCATGCAGTTTGACAGCCCCATCGGTTTCTTGAGTTCTGCATTGGCCATCAGTGAAGGTGCTATATGGGCATGATAAGGAGCAAGGGAGGACCCCCCTGTTCCATTTTTCCTTTGCTTCAGCAGCTCAGCAATGGCGCCTGCCTGGTCCTCTGGGATATCGAAACTGTTGGCAAACTCAAGTGGAGGTGGTAAGGGCTCTGAGAACACAAATTCTTCATCAATGTCTACAGAGGCTAAGGGTGGAGGGGGGATGCGGAAGGGTAACTTTACAGGCTCATCCACTGAGCTGATGGTGATGATAGTCTTGCCGTGGGGGCCAGCAGGCTTGGCATTGGGCGCTTGAGGACTGGTAAGGGTCGCCATCTGATTGGGGGCTGGCTGGTTAGGGTCTCGCAGCTCAGTGGGGGCACTGTCAGGGACAGTAGGTTCCTCCCTTTCTCCACCTTTGACTATGCTGTTCTCTTCAGTCTTGGTCCCATCCACAGTGTGCACCATTAGGAGGCCAGCAGACTTCTGCTGAGAGGTGTCTACAATGTCTATTAGCATATTTTTCTTTTCCTCCTGTTTCTTCTCTTCTTTGGCTGAGTCAGACTCATACTTGGCTTCTGTCATCTGCCTTCTTAGGCCCCCACGCTGGCCTGGCCGCCCCATGGTGGCAGTCGTAGCAAAACTGGGTTCCATGTTGGAGCGCATTTTGGTGTCGATAAAAAGAGGCTTATTGAGGTCGGGTTTGGGGGACTCATTCTTTTGGGTTGGTGGCTGAACCTGTTCTTTCATGGCCCGGTCTCTGGCAGCTAATGCGAGAGCCAGGGGGGAGTTGGGGTCCAGTGCCTTGCCCGTAACAGGATGCACATAGTTTCCACCATTAGTATTGTATGTTTTGCTTGTAGGCAAGCTGACAGGACTGTCAAGGTTGGGACTGTTTCCTGTCCGCGTGCTGAGAGGCTCCCTCACTAAGGTGGGCTCAGGAGTGTTGAAATCAGTCACGTTGCCACCTCCCTGAGGAATAACCAAGAGCGAGGAAGGAGGAGCCATCAATTTACGCAGCCGCTCGTCGTTGCTGAACATGCCCTCATCAATGGATTTTGACTGCCGGAGGCGGGGGGTAGGGGTGGGCACCGGATCCTCATCACCCATATCAGTGGAAAGGAAAGCCGGAGAGTTCCTGTGGGCTTCTAACCTCTTCTCCCGATCCCGTACTGCACCAGCAATGGCCGCTGCAAATGGGTTGCTGAGGTTTAGGCCATCCTCGGGCCGCAGCTGACCTGGGTGATCTGGTGTGGAGGTTTCTATCTCCATGCTGCTGCCTTGGCTGCTCTTGCCACTACTGCTGGTGGAGGGCTCCTTCACAATGATGGTGGGAATGGGGATGGAACACGTCTTTTCGGGGCTGTCCTCCACATTGGGCTGTTTCACCAGCATACCCTTTCTCCTTGCTGGCTTGGCGGGCACATACAGTGCCTTGTTGCTCAGCTTTCCCACTTCTGAGTATGGGTTTTCAGGCACATGGGCCCTACGGTTACGAAAGTTCTGTTGAGATGAGGCATTCTGCTTGTAGTCCTCTGCCTCGTACTGCTCCGAATTCTGTCGATAGTACATTCCTTTGTCCCGGCGGATTGTGCCCACATTAGCATCCCCCCTATTAGAGACAGGCCCTTTAGCTGCAGAGTTCTGGTTGAAACCTTGTCGGACAGTGCCATAGCCTCTTGCTGTGGGTGATTTGGGGGTGTTGTAAGGGGGAGAGGGAGGAGAGATCGCTGGTGGAGGGGGAATATCCTCTGATGTGTCAGGCATAGAAAGGCTCCTGGTAAATTTCAGCAAAGGAGGTGTAAGGAACTGCTTCTCCTCTTCAGTGATTCCTATGAAACAGAGAAATCACTCATCTAATTAAACAAAATAAGTGGAATACATGGGTAAATGGGAAGAACTTCGGAAGAATTTAACACAATTCAATACTTTAACAATTTCAGGAATTGCAAGAGTGGCTAAAAAATATAAATGGACAGAGTCTAGATCCATGTACCTCATAAACCAAGAAGGTACAGGAGCACTACTGTAAAATTTAGAGGAAAAAATGAGGGGACCAGTCATCAAATCGACAGTGCAATTAATATTTTTCAGCTTTTGCATAATTTGTTCTTTTTGCTTAAGTATTTAAAGCAGTGAGTGGATTGCAGTGATTTAGCAAAACAAGGAACAATTTTAGGACATCTCTGAAAATATCATCAAACCAATCACATTTGTCTTGGATCTTACAATACCGATAGTGGATAAAGCCAAAATGAAGGCAAAGAGGAGCAGGATTGCAGAAGTGATTGGAATGTGCTCTCCTGTATTAAGCTAATGTGCACTTCTGCACTTTCACCTCGTGATTTAGTGCACACATCCCAAGACATAAAGCCATTACACTTAGATCATGCCGTTATCTACCAATCAATAGTTCAGCGGAGTGAAAACTCCCTGCAGATCAAAGTCTTCTGTTTCAGTCAGAGCACATAAGGAAATGTCAAGGAACATCTGACATACTGGAGAAGTGGGAATATAAGTGCACATGCTGCAGTCACCCAGCCACTGGTATTTTATATTTCCTACTACTAAATCTTACACCTAATTGGGAAACCACTTTCCTAACAAGACTCTGTCTCATCAAAATCTAAACAGATTTTGCATTTTATTCAAAAAGGTTCAGGGAAAGGATGTGTGATCTGCTGTATCTCAGTACATCACGTCATCAAACTCTTTGTGAACCGAGAATAACCCTTTATGATCTTGAGATGTCAAGTGTTACTAAGCATTTGAGGAGCTGTGCCTCAGTGTAAGAATGAGGTTGCGGTGGAGAGGAAGGAGCTGAACTGGTACAGCAGAGCAGGGACATCACCTATTGACTTTTGCCTTCTCATCGTACCCTTTGGCACACCCAGGTAGGAGCCTCTCGAACTCCCTGGCACTGTTGGGGGTATGGCGGCCACACCCTGGCAATCGTACACAGACTACAATAAGAGAGAAGGTTAAGAGAAGAAGACATACTATGAGGACGAACAGGCATACCTGCTTGCTAACTGATCCCATCGCACAAAAAAATAAAATCATGAAAAATAAGTGTGGCTCATTAGTCTTTTTTAAAAAACGAGATTGCTTCCTCTGGGACATTGAAGTCTAGGCATCAGATTAAGGTGAGCAAACTCTCTGACATTCAAAGGGGAAAACAATCTCTCTGATACAACAGATACAACAATGATTATGAAATGAAGCACAGCTCTCCTGTGAGGGAACAGGCAAATGATTCAACCATATTTTCAATCATTTTTTCTTAGCAGGAGACAGTCCGTATCTCCCCCATGTCTCAGGCTCTGAGAAGTCTCACGTGCAGGACTGTAGGAAAGGACAGCTCTTCTGCTCAAAGTGGAGCAGCACCCAAGAGAGACGAGAACGGCTCTACTTACATCCATGTCAGTGGTTGTGGCAAAACACCTGCTGGATGGTCGCGGCTTGATGGTGGCAACCCTCATGTCAACAGACACATTTTCCCGTGTGGGTTTCTGGGAAGGCATTTCATCCACTTTGTCTGGAAAACATAAGCCATGGCCCTTCACAACCTGCCAGTCATCCTCCAACAAACTATCTCAATCAGCCATCAAGCCAGTGACTAAAGATCCTTTCCATAATGCAGATAAAAGGATATGAAAACCAAACAGAATCAGAATTTCAGACAGTGGTCAACGTCAAAGCCGTGCAAGCTTTATCTGTTTGATCAGACTGCTCTTACGCCTAAGCCGCTGCGCAACATGCTAGCAGTTGTTTGTGAAGCCACCATGCATTGGATGATTACTTAGTGTGACTTGAAAAACAATCCTCTTCTTCAGACCCTCAATATTTGAAGGCTTAGCATCTATACAGAAACGGAAGAGAAGGAAGTTCAGTGCTGGACAGGGTGTGCCATGAGGCAGCAAGTTAAACCACATGCACTGTCATCTTGTAAGCCACACAAGGCTCATAGACTGAGGAGAAACCTGCACAGCTTAATGACTTTGCTCCAACGGTATTGGTATCTCTCTTAGGTATCTCTCTTAGGTATTCTATATTATATTCCGTAAGCAGAACAGAGCTTTAATGAGACTAGTGGAAGATAGAGTTTCACATTTATACATCACTGAATACCAACTTTAGCCCTACATTTGATCATCTAACAAGCAGAATGCCAAATAGAAAGGGAGAATGCATATTATTCAGCCAGGTTAGTGAAATCAGCTGTGTTAGAAGTACATCTAATTTAAACCAATCTCGAACATCTAGAACACTGCTATAAGATTTTCCTCCTGTCTGACAGACACAAACAGAGCCAGCTAAATCCGCCCCACTTCAGCATCATGGTTCTGGAGGACTGTAAATTTCAGAATTATAAAAATACATATATGAAAAATTAGGCTTAAAATGTTCATTTCATATAATACAGTCAGAAAAAGATTTCTGGATTCTATGTGCAGAGACGGGCAAATAAATCTGAACCCACCCATTTGCAGCAGGACCTTATCCTCCCTTGAATCCAACTTGTTTTCTACTAACACTACCTACCACCACAATATCACCAGCAGCTTCCCTGCCCAATGCAGCGCCTCCTAACATATCAATGGATCACTGGTGGGGGACCAGGTCAGGACAGACTACTCCTCCTCTTGAAACCATCAGATTGATATGGTAAGTTGCAACAGAAACACTTGAAATGTCTTTGACCCTGCTTTCCAGGTGGAATGTTTCTATATTAAACAAATGCAGCACTATTGCCATGGCAACAGCTTGTGTCTCAGTGAGTCAAAGAAGCTGAAATATTATAATGGCTTTAAAGAAAATAGTGTCTACTGTTGGGAGAAATAATTTGTGGAATCTCTTTCCTTACGTAAAAAGCAATTCAAAAATTTGACCCCAAAAGCCCTGTTACCTTTAATCTTGGGCTTTATTTTTTACATATCTTATGGAATCATATATTTTAAAGGGTAAAGGGGGCATTCAAAAAAGAAAAGACACTTTATTCTTGGATCAAATTAACGTAAATACAGATTTATGGTATTTAGACACTCAAACAGAGTGCCGTAATAGGTACTGGAATAAACCTCAACACTTCACATACAGAAGTGTATGTGATACTTAAAAATATATTTTATAAATAATGCAGAATTTGTTTTATAAATTAAATATATTTTTATAAAAAATATCATGGTAATACAGAATATATAAGGTTGCAGTTGACCACTAAAATAACCATAAACTTCACAACTGAAAAAATATGTCTTTGTTTAAATATAGGCTTGAAATTATTTCAGTGCATTTTTAACATCATGCCGCTTTTTATGGTGCTTTATAAATATACTATGAGAAAGAAAAAGTTTACCATGCAAACTTAATACACAAAGCCGACAGATCAATAAATCAACAATTTTTAAAAAATAATAAAACACGAAAAATGTGTGGTCAAATAATAAAGAAATTAGTAAAATAAAATGTATTGTATAAAACATGCCTGGATAAACTTACCACCCTTCTTTTTCCTCAAGGTGGCTTGAAAGCAAAAAAAAATCAAACTTTAATACTTGAGTTACAACTTCAAAGACAAAAAATATGCTACTAATTGCAACTCCCTAAACAGTGAAGTGAATTTCCTTTTTACTGCTATAACTATAAAAGGAGGTTCTGCTTATTTCCAAAAAATAAGCACAAGATATGGTGGAAGAACAGATTCAGCTACTACTAATTATAATTGTAATTATATGTTTTTCTCTCCAGAACTGATACAAAATTACTACATTGCTAACTTGTGACATTGTTTGTTTACCTGAATCCAGACTACAGATTCTACAATGAGTTTCATGGTAGCTATTCATACACTGAATTGGTTTTGACACTGCTCCTATGGATTTAAGAAAACTACACTGGAGTAGCAGGTTTTTAAACCAGTAATATACACACAATGTTTTTGAAATGGACTGTGCAATAAACATTTTGACCTTTTTGACACCACTGACACTCCTTTGTATACATGTAACGGCAGCAACACCAACAAAAAGTTGCAGAGAGACAGTGATCAACATAGACAAGAAAAAAGAAACCTTTTGAAAAGACGGGCCAAGGTAAATCTGTGGCTGCTTTGGATGTGCTGATTGCCATTGACCACAATAACATCAGTGAACATGGAAATGCCATGAAAAGCACAGGCAGAAACCACAGAGAAAAGCGGGATGACCTAAGAAAGGCAGAATCTCACACGCTGCAGAAGGCGAAGTCACCAGAAAAGTGCAAGGAACCATTTTCATAAGGACTATCTCCACTTAATATCTCCCTAGAGTGCCTTTTATTTCTGCTGATACTGTATGGGGGTACAGTAAAGTCTGTGCCAATATCCTTCCCAAGCATAAGAATACAGAAAACCTTTCCTTTTACCAGAGGGTAAAAATACCAGACATAAAATAAATAGATACAAAACATTAGTGGCATATTTCACATTATGTAGCTGGAAAAGGAGGTGGGACAAATATTGTAATTCATTTCAGAAAGAATAACATCAATTTTAGCCTTGGCACAAGGTCGATGCATGGGAACAGATGGGGAAAGAGAGGAAAATCCTTTCTGATCTTGTCTATTCTACCTCAGTGGCATTAGTTTCAACTATTCATATACTACATAATTTTAAAATGCTTTATGAGAGAGGTGGAAGGCAACCTAGTGAGGTTATCAGATTTATCCAACAATATTCTCTAATACTATGTTCTATACAGGTTTTGGGAATCAACATGATTTCATGTGAATTCAACTGCAGAAAAGAGAATACGACTGAAAAATAAAAAAAAATTTTTAGATACAATCACATACAAAATTTTACAAAATTCTTCTGTGCATAAAAAATAGATTAAGACAAATGTAGCATGAAACTTTGTTCTAATGTAATTTGTCTGGGTCTTGTATTTCAGTATAGACCTTAATTAAAAAAAAATCATTAAAAACCCTCAGTGGAAAAAAAATGAATTCCCATGAGACTTCACTACATCAAACAGTACACATCTTTGGGAGATACTTTTTACATGTGTACCACATAAATTCTTTACAAAGCAAAAAAGTGTGTGTGTGTATATATATATACACACAGACACATAAATATATATTCAATCAATTATTTGGTAGATTCAAAGCCACTATATATTGTATTTTTTGTGAAAAAACTGAAAAGTCATTACTTGGATAGAACTATTACAACTATTTTTGTTTTGCTATTTCTTTCGCAACATTAAACTCCTTTAAAGTGCTTGATATTTTATTACACAAAAAAGGCCAATATATTGCTCAGTTTTCAAAACATTTATTATAATAAATGTGAATAAATATGCATTTATAGGCTTAATAGAAATGTATTAATAATTAAATTGCCCTGCATCACCCCTAGTCTTCTTAACAATTACTTTCAATTAATAAACAAATCAATATGCCTCAGTGGCTCTGGCCAGCAGGACATCTACAGGAAGTCTTAGTTAACTGCCCACAATTCCTGTGCTATTCGCTAATGAGAGTATTTGGGACAAAAAAGACATCTTATCTGTTTTTCAGTTTATAATAATGGACACTGAATGAAACAGGTACAGTTTAGGAAGTTAGGATGTGTTTTTGTGGTCAGACAGACTTAGCACTAATTCTGTCTGTAGACATTGTGAAGGGGTCTGGGGCTGTGTGGTTTCAGAAACAGGAAAAAATACAGACAAATGCAGGTAGGTTCTTAATAATAGTACTGCAAAATGGAAATGGAAAAAAAGAGACACGGAGGTACCCAAACAGATCAGGCCTGGAAGGGCAGCAGCCTTATTTCCTGACTGTGGAGCCCATTTTTAGTTTACTCTAACAAATGGAGACCTGGTGAGAATTTTTCTCTTTTGTAATTCTCACTAATAAATCTCGCTCATCCAGTGTTCTAGAAATGGTTGCCCTTTGTCACAGACACCATGCTAGCCATCTCAAATGCTGTCAAAACAACCTAATGATTCAAACATTACGTTTTCTTTTTCAAAGTCACATGTTCGAATCTGCAACACACAGTCAGCGTTTCATGTCAAAGGACAGATGGACCATCGGAAGCAGTTAAAGTGAGAACTCTACTTGTGGTGAGAGAAGACAATTCATGAAGAACAACAGAAGTAGGAAAGCAAAGCTGCCAATTCCCGTTTTGGACAATTACAGTACGTGAGGCAGGGACAAGAAACATATGGAAATAACATCAAAATGAGAACACCCACAAATAGAAACGAAACAATAAATTACTTCTGACTGCTTACCTTTGTCCACTAATTGCATAGAAAAAAATTTAAATAATGATTAGAGAAATGTGTGACATGATTGAAATATCCACTGTGACTTTCAGTTTTGTGTAACAATATTAATAAAAATATATTGCCGGTTCCCAGCCATACTGTGTCTAAACCTTGACTTGTTCTTTCCCTTTACAAAAGCACATGAGCCGACATGCTGCATGTACAGTCTGCCTTTCCAATCATCTAGAACATGCGTTTACCACTGAAATTGGCCATGCTTACCTAGCTCCTCGAGTTCAGAGGTCATTGACTTAGAGCGCATGGACAAGGCAGTGGTCGGTGCCCTCTTTGGAGGTGGAGGTGCTTCAACAATAGATCAGAGACAAAGGAAAGGGTGGGAGATTTGGATTTAATAGACTGAGGTGTATCAATCAGCACAAAATCCAGAAGCAATGCAGCTCCTGGACTTTTCCATGTAACACCTCAGACCAGAGCTCCTAAACAGGACTGAACCCTGAAGGAGAAAAATCAATGAATTTGAACAAGAAATGCAGATGGTTTTGGGGCTGATGGGTTAATACAGGGATCCACTGCTATGTACTTGTGCAATTGATTTCTAGAGTCTTATGCCATGTTCAGGATAATGAGCTTAGCTCCACCCAGTCCCAGAGCCACTAGTGGCCTGTAGCAGCGCAGTGAAGGCACAGAAGTGTTCAAAATGCTGGGTCCTGTTTGCTTCCTGCTCAAGGAGGAGGGCCCAAGCTGGACGCCAGCAAGACGAGGGGCTGCTCCCAACAGGCTGCGCTGGCACAGGGAGCTGGCACAGGGAGCTGGCACAGGCTGGCATCAGGAGCTCTGGCAGTGGCTCCAGCAGATTTCCCCCCAGCAAGAGCCAGGCTTTGCCTCCAAAACCCCCCTGTTCCTTTACACTGGGATCTCATCCAAGGCACTCGGGGAAGACAGCAAGCCATGCACAGCTTTTATCACGCATCTGTGTCATTACCATGCCCATGAAATGAGCTAAATGACTAGCGTGGGGGCCTGGGACAGCCCCTGTGTCCCAGCTGATTAGTTGGTCATTCAGTCGGCCTCAATGTGCTGCAATGGACAAAAGGATAAACAAAGCGGGTGGATAGAGGAAGGCTGCAGTCCTCCTGCCCTTTCACTGCACAGGGGAAGGCATTAGGATATGGGGAAAGCCAGCATGACTCCATGCCGCAGGTTTACCTTTTTTCCGAGCCGTGTCCTCTGGGTCCAGATTCCGGCTCACCGTTACCACTTTTATAACCAGGTGGTTGCCCCCCTGCCTGATCATGTTGACAACCTGCCTGTGGCCGACTTTCACCACATTGTCCTGGTTGACCTGAAACACCAAAGAGAGGGAGAGTTTTGTTGCATCATCCTTAAACATACATTCAACATAATTTTCAATGGACATATCAGCTCTGGAAAAGAAATGAGAGACGGCTTTATACGTTTTAAAAATTAGCATTTTTAAATCCTGGTTTAATCCTGGTTCTCTTGCCATTGGCTACACTACGAGGCAAAAAGACAGTAGTACACAAGAACAAGGTAAAGAAGGAGACACTGGCAATAACCAAAAACTAGCCTGGTAGATTGAAGAAACTTTCTAATGCCAGAAATGACTGTCAACTTATCCAGCAGTGCCTCATGAATCGGAGGATGATCTCAAGTGACCTTTAGAAAGAATGGGACAAGTGGTATGAAATGCACTGCGAGTACAACTCTTAACAGGTTCCTTGAAGCAGGACTGAAGTCTCATAAAACAAGGAAGAAGCCCTTCATCAATGAGAAGCAGGGAAGAGCTAAAAAATTATATTTTACACAGGTGCATACTCATAAATTTAGAAATGAGTGAAACTAAACATTTTTGTTGTGGTCTCTTAATTTTTTCCAGAGGCGTATGTTGTGTCTATTTACTAACTACTAGGGCTGAACTACTTATCTATTTAAAATCGAAACTGCGATTTGAAACAACGTGATTAGTAAATCGTATAGGCTGCAATTTTGCAAATTCATTATACAGCATGTCTAACCCAAGGTATAAAACTGTCCTGAGAAGAGTTTTACATTCTCCCTGTGTGACATTCTCACCAATCAGAAATGCCATGATCCTGGTGTGGCAGTCATGCTCACCAAACAGAAGTGGCCCAAGGCAACTGCGTATACGGCCACAAATCCCGAGAATCCCGAGGAAAACGTTACATTCGTGGCACGAAAAAAAAAAAGATTCCACTGCTGAGCTATAAATGAATTACCTACCTATTCCGTGGTAAGAGATTGTTTACAGAAAAGTCCTATTATTTATGGAGTGATTATGATGACAGAATTCCGTGGTTGAGTACTTGTACACCCGTACAGCAGATTTTATGTCTTACAAAAATGTTTTGCATACTTGTGTTTTCAAAATCACAGATTTTCAACTTCACACTTCCACATATTTTAGAAGCCGTGTTACAACCACGAATCAGCATTACAAGTGCATAAACTGGGAACAAAACCCTGCATTTAGATTTCTTCCCGTCCCGATGGCATGTGAATGGAGCAGCATTTTGATTGTCAGGTGAATTCAGCCAATAATACCCCCGCAACAAAAGTCAAATGATTTTTGACTGGCTGTCGTGGTCTGAGGCGCACAGATCCCACCCACTTGCCGCGCCGTGTCTGGCAGTTCAGGATTTAAAAACTTTGGGTGCATGGCAAAGCTGCCAGGAATGCCGGCATTCTGAGCGCATGAGTTTATTGACTTGTAATCCTGATTTGTCATTGCAATGTGGCTTCTGGAAATATGTGCAAATGTGAAGCTGCAAATCTGAGTTTGAAAACACAACTGTACAAAATTTTTTTGTCAACAAACTTTGCTGCATGGGTGTACAAAACTAAATTATAAGTACGGAAATCTATTTAGATTTGCATTAGAATACAGACCATTTAATATTTTGATAGTACAGTCGTGGCCAAAAGTTTACATACACCGGAGCGTAATATGCTCAACTTCCATTTCGATATAATTTCCTGTTTAATATTCAACATTCAGTGCATTCCTACAATAATTCCAACCAGTCTTCTTTATTTCCATGAATGATTACAGAAACTCTTTCACTTTCAATGGTTTTATTTACAATGTAAATACTGAAGTTACAAAATTAGTAGGTCTAAAGTTTACATACACCCCAACCACACATTGTCTAATACTTTGTAGCATTGCCATTAGCTTTTAGGCTTTGAGCTGGCCATTCCAAAACATCGATTTTGGTCTGCTGAAGCCATCCTGTGACCAGCTTGGATGCCCAGAAGCATTTATCTTCATCCTTGTGCTTTCTTGCATATTCCAGCCTCGCCTTAAGGTGGCGTTCTTGAAGAAGGGGCTTTCTTCGTGCTCTGCAGCCCCTTAGCCCATTATGATGTAGGACCCTCTGGACTGTGGACAGTGAGACACTGATTCCTGAATCCTTCAATCTTGGCATACTTGTTTCTTTGTCATCTTGGGATTGAAGCGGACCTTTCGAACCAATGCCCTCTCATTGGTTGGTGTCAATTTCGACTTCCGGCCTGATCTTTTAAGGGTCTTCACTGTCCCAAACTTTTGATATCTCTGTACAGTTGTCTGGACGGATGACCTAGGTACTCCTAGTTGCCTAGCTATGGCACCTAGAGAGTTTCCTGAATTCAACCAATATGACACACATGAAAACCATTTGGGGATAATCCACGCTGTTGCAAACACAAAAAAGCACCAGATCACCCTGGTGTATGTAAACTTTTGACCTACTAATTTTGGAGCTTCATTAACTGAACTGTGAATAAAACCACTGAAAATGAAATAGCTGTTGATATCAGTCATGGAAATAAAAGAGGTTAGTTGACATTATTATAGGAATGCATTGAATGTTGGATATTAAACAGTAAATGATATATAAATGGAAGTTGAATGTATTTCACTCAGGTGTATGTAAACTTTTGGGCACGACTATCTCATGTTATAATGCTGCGTCATACTTTAAATCTAGTACACACTGAATATTGAGCTGAAGCTTGACTTTTAAAAAATTATATCGCTATCACAATATCGGTCAGAAAAATCGAGATTAGATATTTTCCCTAAATCATTCAGACCTACTGTAGTAACTAGTCACGCGTGTTGATAAAAGCTACTCAAGGATGCAGTATGCTTGATATATGCCATTGTTTTTGGGTTTCATGAGGGATACAGTTTGCCAAGTCAGTGCAGTCAGAGCACTTTGAGTGCAAGTGACAGCTGACAATTTAGTTACAGTGCTGAGCAACTGTTAATATACTGGAGGTCATTTTTCTGTGCTCAAAAAGCAGGTCAGGCAATGTTTACAGATTGTAAAACCATACATCTGTTATTTTCCCAATTTTCCCCCAAAATAACTGGTAGATTTTACCAACAAGAGGGGATGGATGATTTTGATGATCATTTTCAAATTTGGTAACATACTCTGGAAATCATCTCATGAACCCCCAATGGTGTTAAGATAATGACATAAACAAGTTATTTTTTGCGACACTAAACAGAGTTAACGTTACACTCTTAGAACGTGAATGTACGTGAACGTGAACGTGCTTTTTATACTCTAACCATCCTGAAGCATTCTCACTGCAAGCAGCAGCTAAACAGTAAGAAATCATGCTGTCAAACAAGAAAATTCCCAGTTATGTTACCATTAATATACTGATATTGATGAAGCCGGTGCTGAACATAACTGCAAAAATTCAAACCAACCAATTCCATCAAAACATAGTCAACATCTTACAACTTACACAATGATATTTAAAATCAAATGCAGAAAGTTAGGGTGCTTGTGGGAAATAATGGCATACCCTGCATGCATTACAGCATGATCCACTGATATGACGTGTGTCTGGACATGCATGCGGAGCATGTAAAAGCGAGGGCCATGTGGGGGCCCCTTATCTGTATCTGGCAGCACACTGAGCTGAGTGACACCATTAGGGTGATACAGGGGACCTCCGAGGCCCAATGCTCAGTGAGAGGTCAGCTACATTAGTTAGGCTCACTTCAGTGTAGCCACCTGCCAAGAGAGTGCATCGCATCAATGGTGGCCACTGCAAGAGCCACAGCCCGAAGTCTGTGCTGGGTGCAGTGAAGAGAGGGAGCGGCCTTTTCCAGCAGCTTGTGGGCTCACATCCTACTGGCTGAGGGACCAACTCCGGTGGAAAATGACTACTGACCAGCTGTGTGAGAACTGGATTTCCAATTTATCATTATACCTCTTGGACTGCTGATTCTGCGCTAACACAATCAGCTGTACATTACAGTTTGAAGCAGATTAACTTGGTCTGTCAGGCATTAAATGTTCCAAACTATTTTTTTTTACCTGGTTCATTAACCTACAGTTACCGTGCATTCAGTGTTGGCTGTACCTATCTCACCAAGTTATATTTTTGTCTGATGTGCTTGTGTGCGGCTGTAGCAGTTACACTGAAGGTCTGGTGATGGAGTAGAACATACAAAGGACATACTGTATATTCCATGACATCATCCCTGTTTGGACAGGTGATTTCATAATTGTATCCCTCCTCAATATCCTGTAGCCACAGCTGCAAAGCAGCATATTGATAAAAAAAGAAAAACAATTTTGGTAGTTATAAAGATGTTTCCAGAGAACCTCAGCAATGGCCCTGCAATGTTTATGAGATAAAGGGTAGATAAAGGTAACCGTGCAAAAAGAGCCATGTCTATTTCAAACACTGTCAATAATCCCATTTTAGAAAAGAACAAAACACAATAGAACTATTTCAAATCAGGAGGTCATCAAAGGGAATTTTTATAAATATCCCCAGTATTTGAGATGCTGTACTCTAAAAAAAGACCATAAAGCAGAACTTCTAGTATAGGAAGACACACACACACACACACACACACACACACACACACACACATGCTAGATATCTATATCTCTGTGGGGACTATCCTCTCACTTCTTTGGGCATAACCCTAATCCCTGCTATAACAACCTTAACCCCTACCCAGCCCTAACCTTGACCATAAGTAGCCAAACTAAATTCAAGACTTTTGACATTTTTAGTTTTTTGATTGTAGTCACAGATGTTTATAAAATTGAGTTTCCCCTTGTGGGTACCAAAAAATGGCCCTACCAACGTGAAAATAACAGGTTTTTATCACATTGTGCGATCACTTAGCCGCCACAACATAATATATACATAACACACACACACACACAGTTATGAAACGATCTAAAAGGATAAAAGGACAAGGTCTAAGATACCAGAGAGGGCGGAACATGTCAGATGGACAAAAGGCTGTTGTAGGCCTGTCATTAAGAGTAAGGTTAC